CAAAGCCACAGTGTCCACCGACAAAACCCTAACAACTAAGGGCATCTATAGCAGGTCCGCCTTACCGCCGGCCGCCATAGGGGATATGGAAGCTGCGGTGGTTGTGCGCGAATACATATTTATCGTAACGTGGCCTTCATTTTCTGTTCCTTCATGTGCGTCCCACTTGTGATTCGGACATCAGTTCAATTTCATTCCTCGGCATGGAAGGTTTTTGGTACCAAATTTCATCACTGGTTTACCCTAGGATTTACAAAATGGATTCAAAGAAACAACCAGGAGATGAACAACCTTAAAGAGACTCACGTTGATTCCTTGAACTATGGGCTCTTCTTTCTCTTGGAAGTAACCTCGTAGGCGGGGGAAGGCTTCAGCTGCGCCGACTTTCTATGGCCATGCATTCAGTGAATGCAGGTGTGTCTCGGATGCGGGGCAAGGCCACATCCTTGAAGACCGGTGTGAGCACGGCTTCCATTTCCGTGGGGGCGACCATCGAGATGCGGTGGAAGTACTTGAGAGCGGCTGACGGCTGATTCAACCTCCAAGAATTCCCACGCGCTCTTCCATTAATTCTCTCTTGGTGTGGTCCTCTTCGGTCTTGGCAACAAAAGGTTTGCATGGAGGGTGCGGCCGCACCGACATGATCGATTGGGGTGATTGTGCAGGCGACGGGGATGGGGAATAGATGACAGAAGGCGGTCCGGCGATGGGGATGAGGGGAGAGGGTGTGTGGTGACACCTATGAAGGGGTGTGTGTGTTGAGACGGGGGAGGGGATTTGACGCATGTAGGTGGGAAACAAATGCGGAACGCGACGGTGGCCATTAATTGATGCTCTTCACGGCAGACAAGCGACTATGACATTGACGGGGACGGATATGCCGGACGGACGCATGGCCAGCCTGCGCCGCCCGCGTCCGGCCGGTGACGACGCCGATCTCAGGGCTTCCAGGGAACGGATGGACGGACGGCCCGGCCTGGGACTGGGAGGGCGGTGGCCGGCCGTTGACGTCGCGTGGTGTGGCCGAGTGCCGTGCGCGCGGCGACGGAACGCGGCGGTAACTTCGTCGTGCACGCCGATTGATTAATTATTAACCCTAGTCTTCTTGCCTCTTTCTTGGTCTTCTTGACGAGACCCCGGGCTCAATTCGCCCATGTTTTGCTCGTGAGGGTTTGGCAACTTGGCATCCACGGCGGGATCCTCGTTCCCGTCACGCATGTTCTCCTCGTGTTGGGTTTTGACGGAGATGCCGTGGCGATTTTGTTACTGCTACTTGCATGGACTGCGACGGGATCGACGACGCGGGAGAGCGTTGTAGTGCACGCTAGCGACGCAAAGAGGAGCATACGTTTTTGTTCTCTTGGCTTCCTCGACGGCCTGAATGTACATCCGGTTTGGGCTTACATTTTGTGATGTGTCAAAAGAACCGCGTATCGGTCTTGCCGAGTATTTTTGGCAGCCTACGTCGCTTTTTAGGCGTGCCCGGTTTGCACTTGCGTTGCGTACACAGGCTGAATATATTCTCCCCCGAGCAATTTGTGTGGTGCGGATGCGAGAGAACAAGAGAGGAGAAAAAGTAAAATGTCATATCTTTCTTCGGAAGGGTTGGTGCTCAAATTAGATAATGCTCATTATAAGTACGTCGTGGGAGAAAATAAAAATACAGTATCATCCTTGAAAAATCATCCGCCTTCTTCCTCTCGGACACACATGTTATCACGCATCAGAAACAGGAAAGTAACATCAATGCAAGTAGCCGATAAGTCATCAAACTCTGTCGAGAAGCACCGACGACGTGGATCCTCAAGCGATGATGGGTTTAACGGTGCACCCTTTGGCCCTTGTTGTCTCTGTCACCTCGTGGAGTAGAGGAAGATGGCCACCCTTGCCCTGAGGACCGAAGCTCGCTTCATTCCAATGTAGTCGCGCCGCAACCTCGGCAACCTTGCCTGGAGGCTAAAAACGTGCACCGAGATCCACGATCCAGGTATGCACACACGAGCTTTCCAGATCTGCCGTTGTTGAGGGGGGGAAGGAAGCCGTCCCATCAAAGGGGAGGATTTGGAGCACGCTTGTTCGTCGTAGCCACCACTGTTGTCGAAGCCATACCGTCCGCCGACCGAAGCCCTGACGACTAACACCGAAACATACATCAAGCAACAAAGATTGATGTGAGGTCGTGAAGAGGAGGAAGACCTCCATGGAGCCGCATAGAACTGCAATTGATTGATGCAACAGAGCATTGTAGTGTACAATAAGCGAGTAACGACCAATCACACATTAATAGGTAAAGTAATAAAGTAAAGTAAAGAGAGAAACATTGTTCTTTTGGCTTCCTCGATCGGTACATCGAGTTTGGACTTGACGCTGTGTGACATGTCATGTCAACTTATTTTTGGAAGTCTACAGCATTTGTACTTGCGTAGCATAGAAGCACTATAAATAAAGAGAAAAGTACTGAATATGTTCTCAACTCCATCAATATGTGTCCCCGCAAAAGAAAAAGGTCTAGCAATTCGTGGGGTGGAGATGTGAGGGAGAATCCCAGAAAAGAGAAAAGAAAATGTTCCATCAATAATGAATATCATAAAGGAAAAACGTCCTCCATGGCTCATGCGATTGCTATGTTTTCATAATAGTGCATATGAGATCATCGGGAAGGTTCTCCATGCATGTTTGCACTACTACTAACTAGCTCAGAATATTGTAAAAATGTTGATTGATTAGTACTCCCCCCGTTTCAAAATATAAGGTGTGCTAGTTTTTCAAGAAGACTTCTTCCGGTCCAAAATATGTCAGACTATCGGTAAGGTTTGAAAATATATCTTGATTGATTAGTACTCCTTCCGTTGCGAAATATATGAGATTACCGGGAAGGTTCCCCATGCATGTTTCTACTACTACTAACTACTAGGTAAGAACATTACTAAGTTTGACCAAGTTTATAACGAAATATGTCAACAACTATGATACTAAATAAATGAAATATGAAAATATATTTCATGAAGAATGTAATGATGATTTTGTATTGTAGACATTCATATATTTCTCAATAAACTTTTTTTTTCTGCAGATAATAATTCTTAATAAACTTGGTCAAAGTTAGAGAGGCTTGACTTAAAAAAAAAACTAGTACAACTTATATTTTGGACCGGAGGGAGTAATAAATTAACCATAAAACAGTCTTATATTTAGTTGCTGAGGTACCATAGATACACCCACCATGGAATGCGAGGTGGTATCATTATCATTGCTAGATACAAATACAAAAGGGTCGAAAGCAAGCAAAAAACCATCGAGTGCCCGTACTGTAAAGGTACTCCCTCCGTCCACGTTGTTGCAAGCTAGTTTGATGTGGGACGGAGGGGGTGGTACTTATAAAGCTCGATTGAGAGTTACACCGTCTGCATTGCATTGCATTGCGCTGTGGATGCAACCAATGAGACTGAAGATGTTATCTTAAGGTAAGAAGATGTGTGTGACAGAAACGATTTTCCTAGCGCTGGCCGGTGCGCAAGTTGGAGCCATCCGCGAGCCGTTGGTTCCGAGAGAACACAAAAGATAATCCCGTCGCCGATTAGTAAACCCCGTCAGTTAACCGGCGAACCCCCGTGATTAGTGAGGTCAATGTCAGCCAGGAACCCAGGACGGCGATATAATCATGGCGACAGACGGAGACCGTCCCTGCACACTGACTGGCTCCCCACGTGGAGCACGTCACGGTCGGATTAAGTTAGAGGGATTAGACTAAGGAGGACGAGGCTGGGTTAGTTAGAAAGGATCAAGGGTGGTGTGCAAATGTGGCAAGCGGACAGCGACCGGGGAACGCACGGAGCCGCACCAACCGGATGAGATGAGACGCGTCTCCGCAACTGGCGCCTGGAACTCCACGCGTTGAAGCGGAGCACATTCGTACAACAGGCAATCAAGGAGTATCAGAGGCATTAACACATTTGCTCAGGAGTAACAGCAGGATATAATTGCTTTGATCACGCAGGATGAGGTAAAAGTTTTGCTCCATCGCGTTGACAAGGAAGAGTGGTTGCCCAGTTAATTAACTGAAAACCGGACGAAAATCGCCGTGGTTACACCGCATGGCATGATGATGATATGAATGCGCTGTAAGTAGATTTAACAATGTTGATACAGTTAAGTGGCTGGATGAGGTTGAGGAGACAGGTGCACTCTGCTTTCTGGTGATAAATGGGGCAGCAAATTTGTCAGCATACATGGAGACTTCCTCACAGAAAGACAGGGACTGAAATACTGAATGAACGAATGCATTCATGTAGCACTGTATAATCTGTATTTAGATGAGAATCTTCAGAACGCGGTACAGTAAAAAATGAGTGTAATGGCCTCATGGGGATAGGATAATTAAGCTCGACTTGTTTGTTTTTTAGACAGATACATTGCCGTATACAGGGATGGATGAGGAACAGAAAGAAGAAAGATACAGACTCCAGAGTTGTATGACACCGGAATGGGTGTAGAGGTTTTACACGATCATCATCGGTAGTAGGCCATGTGGCGCGACGCTCGGAAAGGGGAGGCGTCGAACGGGGAGGAGCGCCTGGGCTGGCTCTCGACGCGCGCGGGCTCTTTCTTTGGGAGCTTGGTCTCGGACTTCAGCCATGACTCCACGACCGTCAGAAGGTTCTTGGCCGTCTTCAGCTCTTCGATGTCCGAGTATTTCGCCGACTTTTTCAGCTCGCCCTCTTGGATGTACGCGATGTCGGTGGCCCATGTCTCCAGCCCGTCGAATATGTGGGTGGCGTAGACAATCGTGGCTTCTCTCTGAGAAGAAACTTCCGTGTTATGCAATCAGAAAAGTGTGGGCTGGGAAAAAAGCTAGAATGAACTGAAAACCGTTACCTGCTCGCACTCTTCCTTGAAGAAGTCGAGGAGATCCATCCTGGTCACGACATCGAGATCCACGGTGATCTCATCGAGTAAGAGTACCTGTATTGGCATCAGAGATGTTTTAATAAAACAAACTTCGGAATATTGTGTTTTCAAGTGAGACCCATTGTAAAGTAGAGTAGTAGACTACAAGAATCTCATTTCAAAGGAATGGACCAGGTTTTGGTAAAACATCTTCGGAATATTGTGTTTTCAAGTGAGACCCATTGTAAAGTAGAGTAGTAGACTACAAGAATCTCATTTCAAAGGAATGGACCAGGTTTTGGTGACCCTCTGAATAAACTGGCTATATAAACCTTTCTTTGTCAATCTGCGAATTAGCTAAAAGACAGACGTTTCCCATCTGCACATTGACTCGTCACCTGGCTATATATGTGCATGGATCACAACTGACTGAAGTCACTCAACAACAAACTCGTTCTAACTCAATCACACTTGGTGACTGAATATACACTATCAATCAAGAGTCCTTCCAATGAAGTTTCTATTATTCTTCACAACTGATGGGCAATGAAGTGAGTAAAGTTGTTTCTTGGCTCGCTGAGGAGCGAAGACATAAATAGTGGCAGTTCCAGGGTTAATTGTGAGGGTAATATGACAGATACAAGGGTAGTTTAGTGGTCAAATGATCACTGATCATGTGGCTGTGGTTTTCTTTGCACTAGATTACACCCAAACAGCCCTTTTGCCTTTGGCAGTTTGGCTATTGCATAGTAAACTCACTTTTCTGTCCTAGCAAAAGAATACACCGAGAAAGGCTCAGAGCCTCAGGATAATCAAAGAAACAAGTATCTGATCAAGAAGCACCCAACTTGGTACAAGAACACAGTATGAGACGCAGTCAGGAGTATATATCAGAATAATCGACACAAAACTAGGAATAGAGCATCACCTTGTATGGATGAAGAAGGCCCATGCAAATTTGTACCCTGCGGCGCTGTCCGTCTGAAACTTTATGCATGCGCCATTGCAGATCAATATCTAGTAGATCAATCAGCTTCTCTCGCCTAACAGGATCAACTCCATCAACTGCTCATGTTTCAGGGTGGAGGAAGAAAGGTGTATTTACATGTACTGTCAATAACATCAATTACCTATTTGCAGTAATAATAAGAGTAACATGGATTTCAGTGGATTTTAACTGAGATGATTAAACGAAACTCGATAAAGCTAAACCACAAATGTGGAAGTAAAATGATTTAAATAAACATATCATGACAGCAGGAAATTAACTACAAGGAATGCTTGAAGCATCAATGGATACAAGTTAATTCAAGGAATAAACAGTATGTGCACACATTATTGCTTCCATGTTCCATCCATATAAAACAAATAATGGGATATGATGAGCATGCTGCATGTAGAATACCTCCAAATATCATGTGCTCAGCAGAGAAATCGCCCTGTAGTGGAACATCACCCTGAGAAAATTACTTGCATGTAAGATACAAAGCCATTGCTCTGACAAATAAAGCACGCATAAAAAGTGCTGTCGACAAGCTGGTCATACATCAATTATTAATTAATGAAGTAGGGAAAGAGGAATTCTAACAACTTTTTTATGGAAAAAGGTTCGCTGCAGCTACAATATTCAGTCAAGCACCTAGAATATCTATAGATACTGAAACAACATGGACAAAGGCCACTATATTAGTTCAGCCGGCATTAAGTAATTAAAAATAGCTCCCATGAGATTTTCTGGAGAAAGCCATTTGAAAAGTAAGAAAATGCTCAGTTAGGCAAACATCAATAATGAAGATAGCAAGCAAGAGCTAAATTTCTAGTTCTTATAACAAGTAAAAAAAGAGGGAACTTACAACTGAACTGACATTCCGACTCCACGAACCACCCAAGTAGGAAAGGTCACCACTGCACACGAACTGTGTGTCATGAAAAGCAGAACCATTAAGAACACGGACAACATCCTTTCCTCCAACCATATGTTTTCCTGCAAGAATCTTCAAGAGAGTGGTCTTGCCTGCAGTTTGAAATAAACAGGTACATAAATTTGTGTAGAAGACATTACTCATCCAAGATAAGAACAAAACATACATCAGCAAGTCAGCAACAATACATTGTACACGTGTTTGCAGATTAATTCAGAATGGACAAAGAATTTCCTTCTGTTATGGCAGCACCCCTTTTGAAATTTGGCATAGCGATCTACTGGTGCCACACGGTTATCATGAAAAATTCCAGAGACGGTAATCTCCAATAAAAAAATGTGTCACACATGACATTTACAGTACAAGCTGCCTAAAACCCATGCTAAAGCTGAACGAAGGGCATCCCTTGGACAAGAAATCCCACAGCTCTACCACCTTCAATCTGTATGAGAAAGAAAGACAGGAGATGCCCAAACCTTGACGGACGCGATGCTCAATATCACGACAAAAGAACCGCAAACGAAAATTCAATAGGCCATACCATACAAAAAGTATCGGCCAGCATTTCATCCATTCCAGTGCAGTGCCCTTTTCGATCACCCCCCCTAGTATATAATTAGCTAAACTGTGCTCACAGTTGTGTTCATACTATTGAGCCAGTTCCATCTCAAGCACAAATGCACGACACAACCGCAGCCCCGCCTGAAGAATCCCAACATTTTAACTACAGCACCATTCCCCTCAAAACAGAGGCCATTTAAACGGACAGAGCACACGAAAACCCTCACCAGGCCACCACACAGCAATCCTGACTTCTTGAGGCAACAACCAAATTACAGACCAATCACTACATTCTAGCCCAGTCCTAGCAAACGCAGAAAGAACAACATCTAGCACGTTAACGGAGCCTCACGCAGTCACATCAATCAATCCCCTGAAGTCTGAACATTCGTGCCTAAATCATCCGGCAGCTAGGCAAGCCACAAGGTGCCCAGCAGAAGGACCCGTCCGAACCATACAATCACCGGACAGGAGCAGCATCAAAGTAGATTTCGCGGCTCGTGGTGAGCGGTGGGGGTGAGGTGCTTACCGGATCCGTTGGCGCCGACGAGGAGGCAGCGCGAGCCGGGGGCGACGCGGAGGTTGAAGCGCGCGAAGAGCGGCGCCTCCCCGTCGTAGCCGAACTGCAGGGTGCTCACCTCGATGCCGCTCCTCCTCCACCCTTCCTCTCCTCCGGCCATCTCCCCTCCCCTCGCCTCGCCGCCGGTCGGTGATCTCTCCCCTTCCTCTCCGCTCCGTCCAGGCTTCAGAGTTCAGAGGAGTTGGTGCGAACGTCTGCGGCTCTGTGCCGGCCGCGTCACCCCTTCGCTATTTTATACAGCCCACGATGCGAATCAACTGGGCCTCGTCCGAGCCAGGCCCAACTGCTAGCCCACGAAGAGAGAGGCGGCGAGGCGAGCCGAGCCCGTGGGGTTTGGTGGAAAAAAAATGGAAACTCGAACCCTTCGTGCTCTGTTGCCGCCGTCATTGGAGGTGGAGGAGGTGCTGGCGGCGGGGGCGATGAGGTACACGAGGCACGAGCTGGAGGCGCTCAGCGGCGCGCCGTCGCGGGAGGCGCAGGCGCTGCGGTGGGCCGAGGTGTACGCGGCCCTCGCCGCCGCGGGCTTCTCCGGGGACTACGACGGCCTCCTCGCCTCCGACGAGCCGCTGACCAGGAGGGGGAAGAAGGTCTCCGGGGGCGGGAAGAAGAGGCCCGAGGCGGCGGCGCACCAGTTGTCCGGTATTGAACCCCCTCTTGATTTCGCGCTTGCGAACCTAGCCGCGGGGCTCGGACCCCTTTAGGTTTACAGAGTACTACTCCACTTGTTTAGATAGTAATTGTTCCTTTTGCTTGTGATTTTGTAGAGATGGGTGCCTGGAGGAATGGTGATTCGGGGGTTCATCAGGCGACCGGGGAGCCGTTTGATCAGGGCGGGGATGTGGAGTATGAAGATGACAGTGATGATGAGTATGATGGCATTCTGAAGCCTGCCTTTGCGGTTGATGGGGAGCCTGATTTCGAGTCTGGCGAGCCGCTCGATGGTTTCGAGTATCTCCGGCGTGTCAGGTATGCTTTGCTCATCATCCTGGTCGATTGGTTGGATCTAGGAGGCCTTTGAAGTGCGTGTGTGCATTTCGTGTTGTCATTATGTGGTGAATGTTTACCCCGAGTGAGTAGCTGACAGCTGTTAGGAGCATATAATTGCCTGATTGTCACCCTAGATTACTGGTAAATGTAGGTGCTGGCGCCAGCTTCCTTGTATGTTTTCATGTTTTTCTTTCGTAAATCGTAATTTTGGTGCTCGCTGAATAGCTTTCTTCTGGTATTTAGATTTCTATTTTCAGAGCCAACATCATTATCATCATTCTATTAGAAATCCTGTTGGAGAAAATTTACTTGCCGTGCCTCTAGCTCTCATGGAAGTGGAAGTAGAAATCTATGTAACCTAATAAGTTATTATTATTTTTACAATCCTGGCTTGCTTTTGCAAGTCTTGTACCAAAATTCACGATTGCCTGAAACTAGTGAACATTGCAGTTGTAATATGATTTTTTTAACCTCTTAGTTAATTTGCCACCAATGTTTTTTTTGTTGCTATCGATGTTCCAGAAGGGAATGTTACCAGCTCATCTTGCTGGAGCTCTAGCAGGAACAACTAAGGCTTAGGAAAGCAGAGGGATGGATTGTGCATTAATATCTCTGAATTTTCTTTCTCTTAATTGAGTTCATAGATGCATTAACTAACATTAATATATCTGATATGCAAGTTCTTCGTACAAAAAATGGCAAGTGGGCAGCGAGACCAGACCACCGCTTAGATGCCAGTGTGTATGCATGCAATGGTGTTGCATATGATCTATGGGTTGACATAGTGCTATGGAACGCAAACCTGAGAGATTTGAAATACAAACTTTATATTAGTTACCAGATCAATATGTAAGAGCTTAGTTTTAGCACTTGGACAATAGAACAGCAAATGGGAAAGATCTGCAGTTCCCCTTCTCATCTCGTTCCCGAGATCAAGAAATATGGTACAGTTTCACTCTCAAGTATCTCACTTGTGTTGCGATTCTTATTGAGCTGTCATTTCATCAATTTTTCTTGCAACACATCTGTTCTGCTGACCCAGTTCTATAGTGCATAATCATGTATCTGCATAGCTCAAAGCATCTATATGAGCCTAAACGTAATAGAAACCGCACTGTCTGTCGAATAAAGAAATTAGAGGCAAGGGTATCGTTGATTTCATCTTGCAAAATATTTGTCTTTTTTTCTTAACTTCTGTGGATAAACATTTGGCCATGTTCCTTTTGATGCAAAATTATTATTGCTTTAATGATTATTCCTTTGATTATGTTTACAGGTGGGAAGCTAACCAGATTCCTAAAGTGAAGGTGGCCAAGATAGATTTGAGTGCAGCTAGAAAGGAGCAAACACCTTATATGCCAGAAATTCCTGACATACCTAAGTGTTCACCTGATTTGTGTGCATCAAAGGAATGGGAGGACTCATTTATTACTTATTTTTCAGAGACAAGGCTGGTAAGCTATATTTCCATTTAAATGTACCACTGTGCATAAAAGCTTTGTTCCCCTTTTCATAATTATAGTCGTGAAGGAAACACTATGTGTGTCTTGGCCTTGGCTGCTACTCCCTGTTTGAAGTAAAAAATTAAACTGTATCTACATAGTTATTTCGATTCATTTACAATTTTTAATATTTGATTTTGTCAAGCGCCCAGATCTTAACGGCACATGTTCAAAATATTTTAGATAGCAACAGGGCACCGTACTACTATGCTATAACTACTAGTAGACTTTTAGGGGTGTTTTTATCATGGTAGAGCAAAATCTTGAAGTAATTGATAAACTCATATCCTGTTACTAGTGTCATTTGCAATAACTAATTGATAAACCTGAAGTTGAGACAGGCATCTTGGGGTTGAGAGTAAAATCACTGTTACCTGTGAAAATTCCTAAATTCAGAAACCTGTCATACCTTGCAAATTAAAAATGGAGAAACATGATGTACAACTACCTTGCTGCTCCACCTTTTGCAATGACAAATGGTGTTGACTGTCTTTCTGATGACTTGAACTTGAAGTCGGTACAATTAGAGTAACTTGGCGTGAATCTCCTTTGTCGTTAGCTGCTTTTTGACAATCATGTCTGCTATAGTGATGTATGAATACTCTTCTCCGCAGGCATTCTTGGAACTTGACAGCTCTGATGGACCATCTGTATCAGGAGCGGTGAAGAACTCCTGTAAACCTGGCATCAGCTTTGAGCCGCAGATCGACCCGACGCTGACGATGATTCGCAAGATGGACGCAGTTTCAAGAGCTGCCACACTGCGCAACTACATCGATATGATCCAGAGCTTTGATACACTCTCAAGGAATGACTGCCTGTGGCTGTTTGCGCTATGCGTCGCTGTTGAGCCGCCCTTGGATGCAGAGACATGCGCGTCGCTGAGGTCGATGCTGCGCAAGTGCTCAACCATCCTCGCCACCAAGTCGGAGATGGACGATGAAGTTGTGATGCTGAACATACTCGTGGCCATCTCGGGTGTGTACTTCGGGCAGTATGAGAAGTAGATATAGGGATTTACATAGTTCGATCAGTTGTAAGCAGCACTTCCTCTTTTGTGGGGCAATCCATCTGGTGAAAACGTCCAACTGGTGCAAATTTTTAAACTTCCAGCCGCCACAAATGCCTTGATTACTTCACAACTGAACGCCCAGTTCCACATTGCGCTCTATGTGCATTACTGAATGGCTGGATTTTGAAGAGTAAAATGCATGGCAGGTGATTGGAATTATTATGACAGTCCAGTTTAGTCCACTAAAGGCATCTCCAAGGGCACTCCTCAAATTTCAGCCCTCCTATACGTGAATACTAGAAAGAAATGCATGGGTTAAACATAGAATAAATAGTTCAAATTTAAAATTACATAGTTCAAAGTTAAATAGTATTCGGAGCATGTAGTTTAAACATATAAAATATTCAAACAACGTCACTAATCCATTACTAGTTTCCACTAGTAAGCGTGGATGTGAAATTTCACGTGTCTAGATAAAATATCTTTTTATTTTGCAGGGAGTATGGATAGAATACTCAATCATAAAAGTAAAAAATATTACGAACGAATGTGTATTTGAGGTTTCAGAAAAGCTATAATTAATAAAATTTATACTTTGTAGTGTACTTAAGCATTTGTGTACATAGTCAAGGAATTTAACTTCAGGACTCCATTCTCATTGTTTTGAGTTGTCGTTGGTCATTCTTCAGACTTATGAACGCCAATGAGTTACATATACATATGTTCACACCTTTTCCCCTCTCTCTAAATCCATTGATGAAACAATGTAACCAAAAACACATTATTCATTTCTACTATTAAGTAAATGCATCTAAAAGCATATATATGCCAGCGGGGTAAAATGGACACATTATCATAACCTTAATATTATCACAAGTAAACATGAGTGCAAAAATAATATAAGGTTAAGCACTGTTCAAATATTAGGCAAGGAAACAAAATTATGATAGTAAAGACGACTCTTTTGCTTAAGAAATACGGGAAGCAAACCGCAAGGACATCAGTGGTGGAATGTACATGAGCGCCCTACCTGAGTATGACTAGTTTCTGCGTTTCTATTTACAGATGAGTTCGTTATGTCCTTAAACAGGGAACGATCCCCGACACGCATTGGGTACAACATGGATAACTCAAAAAATATGATAGGAAGCTCAGAATTTCAAAACAGCTAATCGGAAGTATAGCACAAATAGTATAACAACAGAAGGGATCCAAGAATCAAAAATTGCAAAGGGTTAAACACAATTGGACAATACAAAAATAAAGTGTTAATTGAAAGTATAACACTTTCAACAGTTAGTAAAGCTCAGAATAGAAGTAACCAGCTGAGCTAAACAAAGGGTTAAATACAGTTTTTTTAATAGTTTTGATTAACAAAACCATGTGACAAAAAACTGAAAAAATAACGAAACGACAATATCTGATCTCACTTCAAAATGCTTGGAACTATATTTCCTGATTTGTAAGGGCAATTAAAAAAAGTACATTTTATACGACAATATTCAAATAACTTAAGCCCATTTTTCACACTAGAATCACACATTCAACAGTTAGTAAAGCTTAGAATAGAAGTAACCAGCTGAGCTAAACAAAGGGTTA